TATATATGTGTATATATATATATGTGTATATATATATATGTGTATATATATATGTGTATATGTGTATATATATATGTGTGTATATATATGTATACTGCGACGAAATCGAAATATTTTAAAACAAAGTATTTTCTACAGCTATTTACGCTTCTGAGTCCAAAACGGTAGACGAATAAAATATAACTAATATTATGAGTAAAATGCGCACATTCTGTTCGGGATGATTACAGCGTAGGTGAAGCGAGTGTAGAGCGTGTTTGGAAGAGAACGGGAAATTGTGAGAATGTTTTTTCTCTTCCAAATGAGTAGTTGCTCACCCATCTTGAGTACGAAGTGGTTGAAGCTCTGCTCGTTGATGCCCTGCAGCGCGCGCTTTAGCTCCAGCGCGAACTCCACCAGCAGCGACAGATGCGCCCAGCGCACCTCCACCGGGTCGTCGGCCTGCAACACACACACAGCGCATCGCGTCCGCCGCTCTCCCGAATATTAATTATTTTATTGATTGCTAGCAATGAACATTACATTGCTTAAAATTTGTTGCGTCTATATAGACGGCTGAGCTCCTACGGGCCTTGAGCGAACCGCGGAGTAATCCTCCGTTAATTTGTCTTAGTAATCCTCGGTTATTATGCACCCACCACCCTCTAGGGGCCGTTGGGTATTCAAGTCACGTCAGTCGCAGTCAAGCCAGGGAATTTCCGATAGGCAGCTTCTTCGCACTCGCGTCTCGTCTCGCCAGAATTGGGAGGAATAAGGATAGGGGGAAGGTTTAGGACGCTTCACAGGGATTGGACTAGCCTCTACGAAGCAGACAAACTCATTTTCTCGTAACAACTTTCACGAGTTAGTTACATAAAGAGAGTTCTAGCACAGCCTTGAAAGAGCGTAGCTCGTGTTCAAGACGTTTCACATGAAATATCTTACAAGTAGTAATGAATAAACAATAATACTGAATTACATAAAAGATCTTAATGTACGTCTAATGTAAAGATACAAAAATAATATTACAAAAAAAAGAAGAATATTATAAAATAATGATTATTTGTGTCAGAGGAGATCGGTAAACTTATACATGAACCATATAAATTATAAAAGGTCTTTTTGAATTAGTTTTTTTGCATTTAAATTGTAATTTGCAGTTGATAATCGAGAATATTTTTCAACAATATTGTTTTATAGTCTTGAGTTAAAATTAGCACTATAATTGTACCCAGTTGTTGTACGAATCTTGGGTTCTTTAATGGAAACTCAAGGAACCTTAGCTTTTATAAACCATATTACATACCACCTAAAATTAAATATTTCGATGAAGTTGCTTAAAAATAAATATGTTCGTCGAAACTAATATTATTAAATATTTTGTAATGAATGAAACTGTGACTTTGGGTGTCATAATGGGTAAAAGCTGAAGCACGAGCGGGAGCATCTGTAGTAGAAGAAAAAGGAGAAGAAGTGAAGAGCTAGGCCGCGTCCTGTTCCCTACACTCACCTTCATCTGGCGCGAGGGGTTGAGTCCACTGGCCGCCATGTACGTGGATCCGATTGTCTTGATCTTGATGATATCCTGGAACTTAGGCTCTTCCAGAAGCTGCAAATCGAAGTATGTCGCCTCTTAGAGTGCAGTACGTACTAAATATGTGATTGACAAGTACCATTAATTCTAGAAATTGTTTTAAACAAATTCAACTGGTAGCTATGGGTCAAAAAACTTTAATGTTCTTTTCGATTATAATAAGTAAATTTAAACAATGTACATTTAGGGTCTAATAAAGGACTTTTTTGTATTACAGCATTATAAAAGAACCATTTCTGTTGCAAGAAATCGTTCATAATCGGGATTTTACGGCACAAATTATGACGTATTAGATTTTATATCACGGATGATCGCGTCATCACACATCACACGTAGCGAGAGAATCGAAGGGAGGTAGAGCTAAATGGAACAGCCGACCACCGTTTACTCGCACGATGTCAAACACCCAAGTCATCACAGGGTCGTTGTTTCGCAAAATTAAATTTGATAATCTTATTAATGTATAATGCTAAAAAATATACAAAATATATTATATTACAATAATTACAAATATTAATATGTATGTATATACAAAAAATATAGTATGCAATTAGTTTATAATGTTAAGCTTTATTACATTCGTACAAATTTGAACACTCGCTCCTAAAGTCGCTTGTTTTCAAAACGTGTACTTATGCAATAAAGCTTAACATTATAAACTAATTGCTTAAACGACTATTATTTATAATTTTTAATAGTAAACGTTTCTTTCATCATGATCTATTCATTATAATAAATTGTACATCTACAATTCTACACAATATCAAATAATACGAGTTCAAAAAGTATTAGAATAAATTCTTGAATATTACGGAAAAATGTTTTGTTAATTTTTCAATGAGCGGTCATTGTCACGAACATGTCTTTTTCACGTGGTATAATGAACACTTGTGGATGTAAATGGGAATTTCCAACGATATTCCTCACTTTAGTGCGCGTATTGTATTTTGTTCTAGAAACATTACACCTGGATGGTCGAGGTGGCCAAAATCGTTTACCGATTCAGCAGTTGGGCCGAAGGGTTGTGGGTTCGAGCCCCGCCTTGGGCAAGGTTGTTTCCCTTGTCTACCATGTACGTTAGGTCGCGGCGGCTTCGCGTTATGCTGACCGCAGATGAGAGGACCACGCAAGTGTATGTGGGTCCATCGAGATGTGAAGGTGAACCTGCTGTCCCCTGGATAAAAGCCATATACAAAAATACATACTTACCGCGTCAAAATCGGAGATAACTTCATTGAGAAAACGAAGGCACTCCAGACCTTGGTTGTTCACTGTCTCCTCAGAGTAGAAATCTACAACGTAATTTAAGTACACAAGTAAATATAAATGTTCATATCCAAATTTAGAAAATAAGTGAGAATTCTGAAGGACTAAGGGCTGTAAACTGAACTACGAGTATTTTTTTCAAAAAAATTCTTTGTACGCACTTATCTTACTTTATTATTTGAAACTACTAAACCAAATTCACTGAGTCAGTAGACATCAAGTGTAAAAGTTTCCTCCGGGTCAAACACATATACTACCATTTGAGGCAAAAAGTGTTAAACGTCCAAGATAATGTCCACGGGTGTAAGTACATAATATGACGAGTTCTATTTGGCAGTTTTACACTCGCAAAGTACCATATAAATTCACAGATGTACCATACGGCATGCTGCTTTAATGCTGTTAAATGGAGGGTAAAAAGGTGAGGAGAAGGCGTTGGGAATGAAATGACCGGTCAGGGCCCAAGGAAAGGAGATGTTGAGGATGTTGGGGAGTGGGAGGGCACTCACCGGAGAAGTTGGGCATGGAGGCGAAGAGCACGCCCACCTCGGCGTAGCTCTGGCTGTAGAGCTCCTCGTGCTGGCGCTTGCGCGACCCCATGAAGTGCGCCGCCACGTGCGGCGGCAGGATGTTGTAGACGAGCGCCTCATTGCGGCGCCGGATGTCGGCTGCGCGCTCCCGCTGTTCCTCGGCCTCGGAACGCCACAGGAACAGCACGCGCAGCGCCTCCTCCATCTGCGCGCAAAGCAATGCTCTCTGGCCCTGCCCCTGGCCCTGCCCCTGGCCCTGGCCCTGGCCCTCGTTCTGCCCCTGGCCCTGCCCCTGGCCCTGCCCCTGGCCCTGCCCCTGGCCCTGCCCCTGGCCCTGCCCCTGGCATTCGATTTGCAATATTTGTTTAAGAACTCGGCTAATATCGAAGGTCGTTCAAAAGACTGGGAAATGGAAACATCGTTTGGAGCAGTCCACATTTTGCGCAGTGTTGTAGAGGCACCGATAGTCGTTAGATCTGCTCCTTAGGAAGCTAGTTGCAACTCTGAGTAGACTTCATAATCAACCGACCCACAACATTCGTGAATTGGAATAATAATATTAATAATACGCCTGTGGGGCTAAATGACTTACGTATCTCGCGTAGAGGGCCAGCGCCACTGTGCCGGCTGCCAGCAGCCCACACAGGGAGTAAGCGACAGGGGTTGTTCTGTAAGAGACCAAGCATTCTTAGCAATGCACGGAAAACACGCGCTCAGTTCATAGAAAACTTGCACTCCTTAATTGACACTTCTTTGCTTTCTGCATTACGAATATTTTCTTTTTATATTCGTAATATCCTGTGATTCCGACTCAACGTCCATTCACTTTCAACCAGTAATGTTTAAATAATTGTAACGTTTAGTACTCCTGAAGGAAGGGAATTTGGCAGAATATGAACACTTACTCGCAAATAATGAGAGTAAGTAAAATGCAACGGCTCTATAAAATGTATCGTGAATCGGTTAGGTGAAGAAACAATATTGTAGTTCCACGACTCGTAAATATTAATGTCATTAACGCTAGATTGTACTGATCCTCGACCATATAAACAGTAGAAAGGTACATTTTATTCATAATATCGTATATAATATTGTCGGATCTAGGTTTTAACGTGTGAACTTAACAATGCAAAAGTTTAGGAAAGTGCGTATTTTCTACATGGCAATGTGTAAGTCACTTAATGCTATCAGAATCTGCACGATATTTTTTTTATAAATGTTATGAACTAGTTAGGAGAATATAATTTAAATCTATTTAAGAGAGAGGCTATTTTCATTTATAGGGAACTTAGTGTTTGGATCCGTGAATTCAATGTTGATAATAATATCAAAGAATTGTAAATTTGCGTTTCACAAATTTTACCAAACGATTATAACCAGTACTTATTTCCACATTTTCAAAACTCGGAAGAGAATGGTTAAAACGGTAGACATTGCTAATGTATGCTTTTCTAGTTTTCAGGTATTGAAACCTAAAACCACAAACAACCGCAGTGAGTGTCCACTGTGTTAACCTAACCCTGGCGGAAAGAGGCGCGGGGACGTACTTGGTTCGGATGGCTCAAGGCATCGTTTATTCCTCTGCTGTGTCTCTGACGGGAAGGTCCAGTGTCGCAGTGCCTTAACGACTGGGCAACGGGCTGCTTTCCCGGTGGCGGACGGGAGCCCTCGCAAGCGCGTGCGTAGGTTGGGTCTGACCTCGCGGCTCAGCGGAGGAGTACCTCTCCGCCCGGGATGTGGCATGCGCCACCGCGTTTGCGGGGCGAACGACCGTCCCGTTGGTTGCTAGTGATTCCGGGCGCGTCCACTACCAGGGTCGCGTAGTGTATGTTCGTGCTTGAGAGGTGGCTTCCCCAGCAGAACGGCGAGATCCGGTGCCGCCCTACGGTCGACTAGCGACGTTTCCCTCAACCAGGTGTCTCCCACCAGCGGAGCACCGCCCCAGCCGGGACAAGCTCTAAGCTCCCGACCCGTCTCCCTGCATGTGTGGTAGTGTAGTGCATGTTAGTGTATGTTAAGAGGACAATTGTATGTTAAGGACAATAAAGAGGTGGGAGAGATCGCGCGTGATCCGTGGCCCGCTTGTTAGGGTACTGCTCCGGCATTCGCCACGTGTTAGTCGGAGGAAAACTACCTGTGGGGGCTGCCGGGCGCTAGAGTTCTCCTCCAGACAGCGCCTGAAATGGACCTAGCTGGTCCCAAATCCCCCGACCAGGAGAACTGCAGTGCCATCAGTGGATGCCTTGAGCCATCTTTCGCGTTCCGTAGCAGCGACGCGCTCTAAGCCACGGAGTGCAGACTGCGAGGGGGCGTACTTGGGCCAGTTGCGCATGGCGGCGGCCTGCTCGCAGGCGAGCGCGGGCGCCAGCACGGTGAGGTTGGCGACGCAGTGCGCGGCCGCCAGGAGCGCCAGCAGCGCCGCCTTGGCCAGGTGGCCCAGCTGCATGGGGAGCGCGCCGGCCGCCAGCGCCAGCACGCAGCCGAAGGACACGAACGACGGGTAGAGGCAGGCGGCGCCCGGGTCGCTGCCGGCCGCCGGCTCCGCCACCAGCCCGCCGCGCGTCAGCGAGCAGTTGGCCAGCGCCGCCGGCGGCTCCACGCACGACACCTGCGCCACACGCGCCCTATTTCCCTCCCTCGCTCGCCGCCTCCCCCTGTGCAGCGAGAGGGAGAACGCCTTGAAAGGGGAGAGGTGGCTTTCTCTGCGCAAGCACAGCTGACGCCGCTCCGGGGAGGGCGGCTGTGGTTAGGGGAGGAAGCGGAGGTGGACTGACGACACTGAAATTGTGATTATTTACATTGCACATTTTTTTTATTCATGGACTATTAACACAAAGGATACAAATGAAATTGCTGAATGCTGAATGAATGGTTACAAATATATGGTATAAGAAATGAACCAACTTGAATGAATGCGTTGTACATAACGCCACTCGTATTCTGTTGAAATGTCACTGTTTAGTTCTTACACGTAACATCACAGGTGGCAGCGCGAAGGGCAAAGAAAGGTAGTTCCAGTTGGCGATGTGAGGCGGTGTGAGGCGGTGTGACTTGGGCGTTGCCCAGCCGGGTCACTGTTGAAATGCGATCTCCCACATGGTCCAACGATGACCGGAATGGGTCCGCAGACAGGGACACGTGCTCACAGCCAGCAGCACATGGACAGCAGCGGGTCACGTGGCGCGCTCTGGTCGGCCGGGGAACTAATGTCGCGTAGCACGTGCCGACGTCAAATCGTCACTCAAATTGCACAAACGCACGTCGGACTGCCGCTCGAGGAGCTGATAGTAAGAATGATTATAAGGACTGAAAGTCTGTCTGCGACGGAATTAGCAGACAGGCCGCGGGCAGTATGGATACGCGCACTCCATGAAGGCCTGCCGAGGGCCGTGGCGCCAGTGGCCAGAGGAAGTATCAAGAGGAAAGGGCCGAGGCGGGGAGTCGCTTCTGTGCACCTGGCTGCTTCAGAGCCGAGGGAGGAGCCTCTGGGCCAGAGACAAGGCCTTCGGCTGGCGGTGGGGGTGGTCGGCAGGAATATTTCTAAATCGTAACTATGCACATCCTGCAGTCCCAAATTAAGCCTTCTCGGTGGCCAGAATCTTGGGGGAATTCCAACTAGAAGTTCTCTTTAAGTTTCAATAAATTTCTCGAATAACATTACACAACGAGGTGAATAGTGAATGTAAAGCACATGTGCTGCAGAGTGCTCTCGACTGCGTCAAGTCCCGCACCCTCGAGACACCTATTGGAACAGCTCTAAGATTCTGACCAATGAGAAGACTCAATTGGGGATTGTAGGATATGCATGGTTACGATTTAGAAATATGCGGCCGGCGACCAGCCTCTGAAGGCGGAGGAAGGACCCTCCGGGACATCCCCGTCCCTCACTCAGTCGCTCCGTGCCTGCCTGCCTCCCTCTCGCCCTCTCGCACTCCCTCCCACTTGTCGCTCACCCACTCTATCGCGCCCCTCTATCGCGCATTTTTTGAGTTAATTTCTTTGGGATGATTAAAAAATAATACCACTAACTCCGCGCTCACCTTTGAATCAAAGGATCACTTTTGTCTCAAAAGTCCGATAAAATAAATGGATTCCACTCTCCCTTCATATTGAAGCTGGTGCGTGAATGAGAGATTCTATAAAATTAGATTGAGTAAATTTTTCAGATTCAATTTCATTTTGTACTTCACGAATTCTTTTGAAGTTTTCCCTTCCATCGGATAAAATAATTTGTTAATGCTAAATTTCAATTTTTTTAATTTTCAGAATTGCAACTGGCAACGGTTTCTCCAAATCCTTCATTTCTTCCAGAAAGAAAATGACAGTCGTTTTAAATTATAAAAATGAGACATCCCATGTTGGTGGTTAAGATTCACTGCTACTAACCTGAAAACTTTACCTTGTGTACTTATACATGCTTGAGTGTTTGCTTGTTTGGTTAACTGCCCCAGTAAATGTTACTTCATTCCAACCCCATTTGTTTCATATCTGATGCAGGCTCTCATCATATTAATAACTGCGTTATTTATTACAGTATACTTTAATTTAACTGAATACGCAATGCTTTCTGATATTGAGTGAAGAGGATTCTACCCTAAGAAGGAATAAAACTCATAACTGGATGTATATAATGAAGTTCATGAATGTTCTAAAAAATGATCTAACTTCCCTTTTTATATGTACGGTAAACTGGCTATTTAACGTGACGGAACGCGTATCACGGTCTCTGTCATTGCCCCACCTTCCCCGCTCTGGACGCCACTTGGAGGCGCAGCCGCGCGAGAGGTATGCACGGGGCGCGTGCACTCGGTTGCCTTCAAAGCGCTTTCCACCTCGGAGCGTCAGGCGCTCGCTTCCTTTCGCCTCTTCGCTCGCAGACACGTGCCTCTGCATTTGTAGTTTGTTCTACGGACGAGCAATAGCATTTATAACTGTTGCTTGTTGTCTTTTCAAATTTAAGCGTTTTATTAGGAAATGCGAAGTATGATGTAATCTTACTCAAATAATAGTTATTTAGACACAAATATTGAAGGACACAATACAATAAGAGATTAAACTAGTGGGGCTACAGCATGGCACAGACTTTCCCGTATTGTTCTATTTCCTTTGGTCTCGGCTAGCTATTCGCACTTGCCACGTACTCTTGCCAGCTGCCCTATCATTTTTTGAAATTTTCTTTATTTTTCGGTTTCCTAATAGTAGAACGAAAATATTATTTTAAGAATATTAAAGAACAGTAAAACCTTATCCTAATGGCAATTTTCTTTTAAAAATTTGGAGCAGATTTTAAGAAAGTGGCGTTTCTGTGCTACTGTGAATTCGAAATTTGAAGTTCTTTTCCACTGGAAATGTATGAGTTTTCGAAAAACTTCATTTGACGTCCTTTCAAGCACTTTAACTCACAAATACAATAGTGTTTACAAATTGCTGGAATTGTGCATATTAACGGCTTGAGAGATCTTTAAAAAAATACACTTGCATAATGTTTGAAAAACCAGAAGAGTACATCAAAACATTATCTTAAACAGTACAATTACCACTATCTGTTCGAAAATATAACGACGTGAAAGATAAAAAAATATTCCACGCAATATTGCGCGATAAGTACTAAAACTGAAAAAAATGTACATGACCTTACTGAGAGAAGTCGCCATGGAGAAGGTATTTTATTTCAAAGGAAAATGTTTGTTTAATTTTGTAGTGGCAGAAAGACGCCCGGGATGAAGGGAGGGGACTCACCGTGAGCACGAGGTTGGCGGCGCCGAGCAGCAGCACCGCGGCGGCGGCGACGGCGCGGCGCAGCGCCAGGTGCCCGTTGACGGCCGCCCCGCAGCCGGACAACGCGCGCGCCACCCTCTGCGCACACGCACACACGCGCACGCGCACGCGCCGTCGTTGCTCCGAAGCCATAAAGTGTCGCTCACGCCGCCCTGGGTTTTACCCACTCGCATGTGCTAGTGTGGTGCGTGTGCGTGGGCAACGTTGAGGACAGGGGAAGGAAAGAAAAGAAAGTCACTCGTGTCTCGGCTGTTGGGTACAGTTCCGACATACCCGTATGTTGATTTGAGAAATCACGGAAAAGTACCCATCAGAGCAGCCAACCGCCAGAATTCTCCTCCAGACGTTGGCTGAATTCGCCATAACTGGGTAGCTAGTGTCGAAAATGCTGCCCCCAACGGACGCAAGCCGTAGGACCTCCCTGACAGAGGCACTAAGCCACATTAGTTGATGCCCTAGACCACCTAAGCCGGTGTTTGTTTAAAAGAGTCTACTTCCTTTTCTCGGTGTAGGGAGAAAATATTCTCCCTGAGGGGTAAGATACGGGATTAGAGACCATTGTTCATATAGTTTATAAAACAATCATAATAATAAAATATTGGCGAGGTGTCCAAGTCACGGGAGCCGTTGCTACTCCGTGAAGAGGACCCGGTGGATGGAGTACCTTATCTCGTGAAAACACTGTAAAAGGGACGTTTATAAAATGTATTATATATTGCGCGTGAAAATTCAAACTGCACATTCGATACAAATAAGATAATACGACAGAAGTAAGACACAATTTTGAATTTCAAAATCTTTTTCGCAATGATTCATCTTCACCAATTTGAGATGTAGTATTAAGTTCAGTCAGGTTGATTGATTGGTTGTTTAGTGGTTCCGGGCACGTCAACTACCAGGGCTATTAGTCCCGTAAGTGTAACGCATGTTTTTTGCTCGGGAGGTGGCGGTGATCTTTCCCCCGCTGTCTGGCGAGATCCGGTGCCGACCTACTGTCGGCTAGCGGGCTTTATCCCCAACCAAGTATCTCCCACCAGCGGGGCACCGCTCCATGCGAGGCAAACTCTTAGCTACGGACGGGTGTCCCGGCATGTGTGGTAGTCTAGAGCATGTTAGTGTAGATGTGTGTGGAATGGGGTGAGCATAGGAAAAGGAAGAGGTCCTAGGACTCCCGGACAGAGGACTGCAAAGACTCGTTTGATGCCCTGAGCCATCTCTCCCGGTGAGTTTAGTCAGGGTGAGTACACTTATGCCACCACATATGCGCGAGAGTTGTTTTTTTAAACATTGAAACGTTTCTACATAAAATATTTGCATATAAGAAGAAATTGACCCACACAATGCTGTACATAGTAACATTCAACACCAATGTAGGAATACATAGCATCTTACAGCAGCTCTGTTAACTATATTACTCGTAAAGTCGTTAAAGCTAAATACGTTTTTAGTGGCCCATTTATCTTCAAACAGATTTAATTTATAATTGATAATAATATAAATCTCAGAATACGAATTGCATTTCACTTGCAATACAGTATATAAATGTAATTGCATCTCGAATCTGACAGTAACAGTCCTAAGGCGCTGGGAAAGGTCAGATATATAATTCTACGTAAAAGCGCAGTGCCTACATAGCACAGTATTACCTCCCGCAAGAAGGAGGGGGGATCATTTTGTTGTGATATTCATCTCAAAAGCAAAATGTATTCCTTCCTTTCAGAATCCAACCGAGCAACGCAAAGAAGCCTACTTGCATGTGCCGAACGAACAACGCAAAACAACAAAAACAACAAACACATTTCCGTAACCCACGGCGATCTCATCCCATCGAAGCTATTTCGAGACCATGTCCCCGAAGACCGCAGCTGAGCCGTGCTTTTTTGCTCTACCCGCCTACCCCTCGCTTTCACGGCTCTCCCCTTCCCTGCTTCGCCCCGGCAAGGCCTCCTGCTCGCACGCCGTTGTCCCCTGCTCAAAGCCGCCTGCCACCACGTTACCACTTAATGAGTTTGGGTTCAAACCACACCGAACCCATGTAATTTGCTACCGAACCCACCGAACTCTTTCGCCCCTGCCCTGAACTGTTTGTGAAGCGTTAAAAAGGCAAACACTCGCTGGCGGGAGGGGCAAAGCGAGGCAAGTGTAGGTGCACGGCCGACAGCGGTTGCCAGGGAAAAGGCGGTTGCCCGCGGCCGGGCGCGTGTATATGTGTGCGTGCGTGGTGGAGCATGGGAAAAGCTGGCTGGCCCGCCGAGCGTGGCGCGCCTGGCGGTAATATCGTTTACCGCCTCTAAAGGGCGTCAGTTATAGGTTGTTAGGCGGCGCCACAGAGGCGAACGGGGAAGGGGCGAGTGGAAGGGCTGTGGAACTAAACAGAGGTCTGAACGGAAGCAATGCTCGTCCAGGAGTTGGCTTGAGGAGTGCAGAAGGGCTTAAGAGTTATTACGAACACAACAACGGATGATGCTGATAATAATAGTAATAATTAATAAGCCGAGATCGCTAAAACAGTAGTGCCGTAGCTGTCTCGGACCAGAGACCAGAAGATTGAGGATTCCAGTCTCGCCTCGGACGTCCTTATGTTGTCTGTGTCTATTTCATGATCATAATTTCATCCCGTTTCCTAGAGCTAACAACCCTGGGGTATAAAAGTGGAATCGGCATTGAAATGTTGATTTCTCCCTATGGAAAATAACATGCGCACCTACCCCGATTATCAAGTCTGAGCCCCAGTGCCATGCACGTATCACGTGGCCCAATGCTGGCCGATTTGTAAAGAAAATAATGTTTTAACCACGTGCGTACAAGCAGTTCGTACCGATATACTTAGTTTTCATAATATGTCACGTCAGGGTCTTTTTTCACGATGGAATATCTCACGGCACTTCGCGTCTTTCTCGGCCGTGCCGCTAGACGTCGCATCAAGCAGTGTGGTGTTTCTAGCGGCACAACCCACAAAGAAGCGAAATGCGGTGATCAACTCCTCCGCGAAGACAGGACCTGACGCGCCACGTTATAACAACCGAAGTATGGTTATAGGAATTCTAGGATTTATTTCGCAAAATGTATAATTAAAGAATTGCATAAAGACTAAACAATAGGAAGGTCAAGACATCGTAATTGGGAACTGCCTATATTTTGCGATACGTACAGTAGATACACAAATATTCTTTAGATCTGCTTCTTAGGAAGCCGGTTGTAACCTGGAAGAGATTGTAAATTTAACCGGCTTCTGATATCTTTACTCGTGCCTATAGGGGATGGAAATAACTATTATCAAAAAAGTGACTTTTCAAAAACAGATCTTTCTCCGCCAATTTTATTTCCAAATTAGAAGTTTGTGCCAACATACTGAATTTTTCGCCCTGAATAATGGCCTTCCAACCGGCTGGTCAAATTGTCAGAAAGCAACACTGCAAAATAGCCCCCGTAAAGGAGGCAAACTCGTTTTATTGAACAAATTCCACATGATATTGTCCGCGAATCGAACCCGGAACTCCGTGGTGAAAGGCAAGCGAGTGCGTTCTGAGACACCAGTGACAGATATCGCTGTTTTAATCCCGGCCGAAGACAAGGAGTTCATTGGGAGTGAAAATCGAGATACATGCCTGATTACGCCTCACGTTAAATCCTCCGGTAGCTCAGCATTCAATGATTATTGAATTTGTGCACCGGTAGATGTAGATAAGATATAAGAGATTGGAATATTAAATAATTATTAATTTGTCAAAATTCGGCGCCTGTTTTCGGCAACGGCGAGTTGTATTAGAGTTTGTCTAAAGGGACGAACTGTGGACTTCGACTGAGGCAAGCAAGGCACAAGGCTTAAGAAAGCATTATTTGATTAGGGAAATACAGATCCATTTAGGCCGTAAATGAGTGGAAACTGAAGGTTCCTCTGAAGTAAATGTGTGATTTGTTATACATAAACGGTGGAAACATACACAATTCGCATCAAAAGTATAAAAAGTATATTTATACTAGTAAATCATATTCGTAAAGTTTTTACCAATTGAGAATAAAAATGAATAACTTAATGGATACTTTAATTGATAATTTACAGGCGATAGAAGAGAATAATATAATAGTAATAATTGTAGGGGCTCTTATTATGGTTATTGTATAATGTAAAAATAACGTAATTGACGAGCTTACAGTACTACTCGAGATGGCTGAATACTCACCCCAGGTAAGAACTCGACCACGCACATGAAGGAGAGGAGCAGTAGCAGTAGCTCACCCACGCCCAGGCTCAATGCGCTCACCACATCTCTGCAACATGCATTGCGCCAACACTAAGGGCCACTTCCACCAAACTCGTTCAAGTATCTCGGCAATCGTGTTTAAATAATCACGGTTAAAATTAAACTCGCAATATAATCACGTTTATACATCCATCTATTTTACCACTGAATATAAACTCGATTAACAGAGTTTTCATGCCATAATCGCTCCTCTCATCTACTAGCTTGCAGAAATAAAATATTGTAATAACAAATTAATTATTTTTTGTTAAATTATATCTATAATGTATGAAAGAAAAAAATATAGCGGTTGCTAATATAAATATTCTCTAAATATATTAATACTTAAACCAAAAGTTTCCTATGTTCATTTCCAACAAGTGAAATATTGTATTTGTCTCCCATGAACTTTCTATATAATATTTATTGTAAAACAAATATTATTTTGTATTACACAATAATTGAAATTCTAGCTGAGTTTCTTCTCAAGTCAACTTTTCTCCCAACAGAGAATTAATGTGTTTAAAAACAGCTCTTATGACCATAAATGTAATAATGGAAGCAGCTTCTTCATGAGACTTGATCAAGTTCGAATTATTTGTTTTTCAATGTTTTTGAAAACTTATTTGAGGGATATAGTATATTCATAAAAGCAATGTGTTATTAAAAAATACAGAAACAAAATTTTACATACACATTATACATTTCAAGCGACACAAAAGTAACAATCATAATTTAAAAAATAAGTTGAGAATACCTCACATACAACATGTAATGGAGGTAAATACACATATTAATTGGTAAGCAGATGAAGTCTGTGGTCCATTGACGTAGCATCTCCTCACGATATTTACGATTAGCTGCGAGTTGAAACGAGAAGGAAGGTAGCCCAGCATGCACTATGTAAACTAAAACATATTTCAGGTAACAAAGATAATTGAAAGGTGAAAACGCCAATTGCAATGAAAGAAAACAATGCTCAGATATGGTTAAAAAAATATTGAAACAGTGATTATAGTTACTAGATGCAATGTTAGCTACCTCATTTATTGTTACATTCATCAATATTTTTATTTAAAGGCATTATAACAAAATTTGTTATTGCCAACACATGAAATGATTTGGATATTTTCTTTTCTTTGATGTTCTCTTCCTTCTATAACTATATTCTGATTGACATAAAAATGTATAAATGACATAAAAATTAAAATTAAAAATAACTGTTGTATTAGTTTATGCTTTATACTATCTTTTTACTTAACAATCCAATATTCCTAGGTTAGACTCTTGCATGTATTGCAATTTGTATTTCTTCATGATTTGCATATCTTATTTTTCAAAATGAATGTAGATACATTTTCTTAACGTTTTTATACATTTTCTCAGTTTTCTGAGATGCTTTTATTATAGTGAATTATGCTTTTCATATCTTCTGCTCTAATGTTTGGCTAACATTCCCTACATTTCCATAGATTTTTTTGTTAACCAGAACCGAGCATTGTTTTTTCACCTTTCGAATAGACCATTACCAGAAGTATATTTTGTTTCAAACAGTACTTGTTTGGCCAATTGCCTTTTCTTTTGAGCACTGCTAATTGTAGACATTGTATGATGTTGTAAGGTATCATTATTGAAGAGCCACAAATTTCTTCTGGTTATCATTCAGCATGTGTATTTAACTCCATTATTTGTTGTTGTGTGTAAAGTATGATTCTTTTATAACAGTTTTTTCAAACTCTGATTATTTTAATGTATCTGTGTCAATAAAATTGACTTGTTTTTAAATTATTGCTTTTTGATTTTATGTACTATATGATGATATTCTTATGATAGAAATAAATATTCGGAAATGTTAATTAATATACTATATTCTATTGATCAAGAGGCATGAACCTGCTGCTACCTCACTACTATAATACATAACCTCAAACATGGGCCTGCTTATGCAACAAAACGACTAGTGCAGGACTCAGATCAGATCAAGGCCCTCTGCAGCCCAGCTGTGGATAGGACCTCAGTTGCGAGGCGCTCTGAGCTTGCAAGGCGGCCGGACCCAGGCGTCGTGTTGGGGAGGTTAACGAGAAGGAAATCTGCCGTATGGCGGGATCCAGATGCAGCCCCAGGGCGTATTGTGCGCCTGCGGGGGTGCGGATGGAGGCTAGCGCCTACGTGCCCACCCCGAGGGGAATTCCTCCAGGTAAAACAAGCGCGCGACCCTTTATTTGCCACTCTCTTTACTTCCATCCTCAGCGCCGGGCAACGCGTTTTCATTCTCGTGTTGTGGATCGAATGGTTTCCGCGCACGTTAACTATCATGGTCATTAGTGAGTAAATATTTCACTTCGGGAGGTATTTGTGGGTACTCCCTCGCTTAACGGCGAGGTCTGGCTCACAGGGGTTTCCTCCTCCAGGTTCCTCCCTCACCGGGCACCACCGCGACCGGGACAACGTCTGACCTTCAGGCTGGTAGTGTAGTGCTTGTAAGTGTAAATGTAAGGAAAGAGGATATGACAAGGAAGAGGAAGGAAAATTCGCGTGCTGTCCGTGGCCCGTTTGTGCTGATCTAAGAATCCACGGAAAATGACCGCTGGCAGATGACGGCCGCTGCGAATAGAAGCCCTGCCAGCTGCGGCAGCGCTGCCTGTCCCCAGTGCAGCGCCAGAAGCCGCCCCCGCGCCCCGACCTCTGCCCCCAGGGGCCGCGGGATCCCTCCCTAACGTCCTCGCCGGGCGACGTGGGCCAATGAACAGACCGGGGCGGCGCGGCGCTCAGTGACGTGATTGAATTACCCCGTGATGTGTGCGTTGAGCTCTCGCTACTCGTCGATGCTTCGAGCGCCGAACGACGTGTTGTCGCGGCCAGGAGCGCACTTCATCCACTCAGCGCAGGAAAAAGCGAGGTCTCTCCAGAGAGAACAGTTTTTCCGTATCTTATGATCTATATTTATACTTTTCCTCTCTACATTTTTCCGAGAGAGGTGGCTCAAGGTATCAACTGAAATCACTGCACCTGACCGGAGATCCTAGCTTCAAGTCCCGATAATGACAGGAATTTCGACACTGACTTGTTATCTAGTTCCAATTCAGTTGTTGTACAAAAGCTTTAGGATACAGGGATCACGATGCACAAATTCTTACCATTATAAGACATGCGAACACTGACTTTAAATAATACACATATGAGCAGATGGTTTAAGTAAAATAAAATAAAATGATTCATCAATTTTACGTTTCCTCAGTCCTTTCTCCAAATATTGTAGACACAATGTTCGTTTCCGAAACTACTTCATATGAAATTCTCAAAATAATTGGTAGATTAAAAATAAATATTCGGCCGGTTTAAATAAATTTAGGGATAGTTTGTTAAAGACTTGTGCGCCCGCAATTGTACACCCGTTAATGCACATATTTAATGTCTCCTTTTGAACAGAAATTTTCTCAGATATTTTTAAAACAGCTAAGATTAAGCGGATTTTCAAAAAACGCGACAAAAATGAAATTCAAAATTATCGACCAGTTTCTCTTTTGTCGTTTTTTTCAGAAATATTAGAGACATATTTACGAACGAATGGAAACATTTCTTTGTAAATAACGACGCTTTTTCAGATTGCCCACATGGGTTTCGAAAATGAAAATTTGTGGAAACGGTCAAATTTTCTTTTCTTAAAGATGTCGCCTCATCCATGGATCAAAACGAAGCACCTATTGGAATATTTTTTGATATTTCGAAAGCTTTTGACGTCATTGATTACATTTTACTTTCAAAATTACCTTCATATGGAATTCGTGGTATTGCTCTAGATTGGTTATGCTCTTACAAGGATATCAGAGGGTAGAAAAACCTTACTGAAATGATGAAACATTATGTACACACCTTTCTGATTCTTTGCCAATTGCATGTGGAGTCCCGCAGGAATCGATATTAGGCCTTATTCTCTTCCTACCATACGCAAACAATATGCCCTCGACGATTAGAAACGGAAGAACAGTTCTCTTTGTGGAAGAAAGAAATATTCTTTGCAACAAAGAAACCATAAATAGTACAATATCAGATATTTCAAATTAATTGTAATTGATTCCGTAATAACAAATCCGTAATAACAAATTAATTGTAAATGAAAAGAAAACGTTCTGCACTCTACTGAAAATGAACATTGTCCCATTGTCTGATGTTAAAGTAACAAAATATTTAGGTCTTTCAATTCAGTTAAACCTATAATGAAACGTCCATTTAAATGAATTGAACACAAAATTAAGTTCTTTATGCTACGCTTTTAGAATTCTTTCATATTCAGTCAGCCTCAATACTGCTCGTGTATATTTCGCGAATGTTCATTCCCGCCTGAGATATGGTATAATATTTTGGGGAAATACATCTTGTAGCTCCCAGAATTTTAGATTATAATAACCAATTGTACGAATAATAATCAAATCCCACCCCCGTGATTCTGGTAAGAATCTAATTATTAATCTAGGTATCTTAATATAACCTTGCCTTTTGGTATATGAAGAAGTGGTTTTTGTCAAAAATGGGAATATATTTTCAGCAACCTACAACGATGGACGTAGTAATTATATTCATCAGGCGACAGTATGAACTGCACACTACAAAAAATTCATACACATTTCATGTATATTATTTTACAACACCTTGCCAGATGGCATTAAACGATTAAATTCGAAACAAAAGTTTAAGATCCAAGTAAAATCTATACTGCTACACAACTGTTTCTACAATTGGACATTTTCTGGACATAAATGTAACTTCAATTTACTTTCTCACCATAGCATGTCCCAGACAGTTTTAACCTTTTTCTGACAAAAATAAATGAAGTGTAGACTCTGTCTCTCCACCTCTGTTTGACGCTATAATCTCTTTCTGTCTCCCTGTCCTCGTCTGTCTCTGTTCCTGGCTGTGTATCTATCGCTATTTCCCTGTCCCCATTTGTCACTGTGTCCCTGTGCCTGTCTCTGTCACTGCCTGTGGCTGTCAATGTCTTTGCCACTGTCTCTCTCCCCCTACGTGTCTCTGCTGCTAGCTGCCCGAGCTGGCACTGGAGTCGAATTAAGCGCCACGGGAGGGGACCTGGGCGCTTGCCTGGGCAGGACGAGCAGGCGCGCGGCGCCGGCCAGCAGCTGCGCCAGCGGGCAGCCCAGCAGCGACACGGAGGAGAGCGCGTCGCGGTGGCGTTGGTAGGCCTGCTCCTTGGCGGCGTCGCCGAAGGTGAGCGCGAGCGCGTGCGTGTGCGAGCGCAGCTCCTGCTGGCCGTCGCGCGACACCAGCTCCGAGCGCAGGCGCTGCTTGAAGTCGTCGGACGCGCTTCGCACGCGCCCGTTCATCTCCTTCTCGCCGCTCGCCGCCTCCTCCGTCGCGCCGCCCTGCAGCGGGAAGGCCACGATGAGCGACTCTGCAGGTTGCTTACGTCATCTCAAGACGAATCAAAGCTGAAAAATCCTTCAACTCCACGCACTTTGCAACATTCATACACAACATAGTACATTACACACACTATATTGATATAGTAAATCATATATGCAATGATAATATGAAGAGTATTTTTAATCATAAATAGTAGATAATGACACACTAATTATCTATTAGCAACGAGGAATGAATCAACGTAAATCATGTTAGTTTTGTAGACCAGAAAATTGACAATGAAAATACATTCATACTTTGTTTCATTACATATATGCAGCACATTTTCGATAGCTAATACGATTTTTGCACTTTCGTGAGTAACGTGAAATGTCAGTTACTACTGTACGCCTGTACCAGAATGCCTCACTTGTAATTATGTAAATGTAAATATTTCACTGGTTAGGTGGAAAAGCAGGCCTGACGGCCTGAGCCTCGCAGAAATAAAGACTGTTATCATATTATTATTATTATTATTATTATTATTATTATTATTATTATTATTATTATTATACTATTGATATCAAATGACTGAAGTTAAGAAATAACAATGACACCTGCATTGGCACTTGTAGGACTCCACTCTATTAAAATATCCCGTAGTTGCAATTGAAAATAATTTAAAAAAGGACTACAAACGGCCGTGTTGCCATCGCAAGGTATGTCGCCTTTCCTCGCTCATAACAGAGCGATATCGGGTTAGCGACTTTAATATTTCTTTTTTAATGTTATGGCAGAGATGCAACTTGCAAAACTGTCACTTCCCTAAAGTGGGATAATATAATGTTAAAGAATTGTCGAAGACTGTATGTGCCCCTTCAACAACATCAAAACGTCACGCCTTTCCTCTTTCCTTCGTGAATTTAAACGGGATTTGGGTTTAAAGAGGATTGGGGTGGCGGTTGTCTCCAAAATAATAAATAAAGTTCATAATTTTTTTAAATTTGAGTTGTGAAGAGAATGATTGTTTTAATTTTATGAAATCTGTTAATCGACTGTACTTAATGTTGAGAACGATTTCTGATATTATAAACTAATGTTCAAGAACCAAATATCCACCTTCCGTAAACATAATTTGTACTAAATGCTTCTAACGCTATGGCGAAACTATACAACTGTCACTGTCTTATATCGTTAAAAGGATGTTCTTTTATCTACTACATCTGTAAAACATACATTACTGTGCATAATTATACCTACCACTGAATCTTTTTCTTTGATGTCAATGTCTCCCGCTTCGGCAGCCTTCTGCAGAGAGCCATTACTGAGCTCTGGTTGGAACTGGAATTGAAAGATGACATTCCTTAAGAGCCTCCATAAGAGAGAAAATCAATTAGTCAACCAAATAGTCACCTGTTCTATGCCTGGGGTATTTTTTTCAGGGTATGTGTTTGAGATAGGCAAATTATTTACAATAAAATCCCAAACGTAGAGCCAAATGAGATAAATTCACAAGACAATTGAAGACTTGCACAATTCGTGGCAATGGCAGGAAACGTGATGTGCCGTACTGGAAAAGGGTAGTACAGTTGACGTCCGAAAAAAAAAATGGATCTTGTGACACAGCGAAATGCGATTCATTTAATTAATATCATTTAATTAAAAATCAGTGAAAAGTTTTGAAAAATTTCCTGATTACCACAAGAATTTACTGTTGTCTCAAAAACGTTTTTGGAGTCTAAGAATACACGTGTAATAACAAAAAAAAAAAAAAAGTTCACAAAAACCTGGAGGGGGGTTATTAGACCCATCAAGGAAATTATAAATGTATTATAACCATTGCTCAGACAACATGAAAAGTATGTGAAATCGGAAACAGCCTTATAAAGGCAGACGTACTGAAATTGAATGGTATAAAGCGATTGGGTCTAAAATTCACGGTGGTTTGCGTGGAAGTGCTGCGGGGGGAGAGGCGGAGAGGGGGCGGCGAGGGCGGAGGCGGGAAAGGGACGGAGCGGGGCGGGGCAGGGGCAGTGGTGGGAGGGGCGGGGTTAAGGCGGGGCGGGCCGTGGCGCGCAGGGGCGGGCCGGGCCGGGGCGGGGCGCGGCGTGGCGGGGAGGGCTGGGCGGGGCGGGGCTAAGCCCATAGCGGGCTGGGGTAAAAGAGCGGGGCGGGGCATGGCAGCGGCGGGGAGGGGCAGGGGCGGGCTGGTGGGGTAAGGCGAGGCAGGGGCGTGACGGGGAGGGGGCGGGGCGTGGACTCACGGGCTTGAGCGCTCGCACGATGAAGAAGGTGCGGATGCCGGCCATGCGCAGCATCTCCTCGCGCTTCTCGCCGAGCGCCGGCTCCACCTCGAACTCCCCGTTGAGGAAGCCCAGCGTCTTCTCCGAGATGTGCACGCGCCTGCGCAGCAACAGGCTCACTTACAATGAATTATGGCACTGCTTTTAGAAGTGCAATAATGAGCATTGTAATTCAGTTACTCTAGTTTCTAAATACTAGTCTAAAAATAATTAAGCAAATTGTCTTTTTAAAAACAATCCCAATGCAATCAATCACAAAGTAACGTATTCACATTAAAAATACAGATTTAGAAAAATCCTACGTAAATTTAGGGTGGGAGGGAGGTGGTCGAGCCAAGTCTCACGGCATCTCAAAAAGGGGAGGGAAGTAGCAAAATCGCGAAAATCGCCTTACGTAATGTATGGACGGCCCCGATCCCTGGCTGGGGGGGGGGGGCTGGAGGAGCAAACGTCGGGCGAGTCGACGTGAGGTTCGCTGTCGGTTGCCACGATCCACGGGACACCAGCGGGAGCCGACCGCCGCCACTCCCCGGCTGAACCGCACTCTCCACTCACGCGACCAACAACGCGCCCCGAAGCACGACGTCCGCAGTAATTGCGCCTTCTCAGAGCTGTCATAAGTCAGTGTCCCCGGTGCGCCTGCGTAGGGGGCTGAGGGCATCAACTGATGTCACTGCAGTCGCCCAGAGGAGAATTCTATCAGCCGGCTGTTCTGATAGGCAGTTTTTCTTGGTTTCTCCGATCAACACCTAGCGAATGCCGGTGCTGTACCCTAACAAACGGGCTGCGGACTTCTGCGAATTTTCCTTCATCTTCATTGTCTTATCCTCTCACACTTACACTAACATGCACTACACTACCACACATGCCGGGGGAATGATAGGGGGCTTAGAGCTTGTTCCGACAGGGGGCGATGCCCGTGTGGTGGAAATACCTGGATGAGGGAGACCGCGCAAGCCAACAGGTATGTCGCCATTCAACGGGGGGAAATCACAACCACCTCGCGCGAGTGGAGCTGGAGTGCTCACCCCGGGAGGCCGCTGCTCTCCATCTTGTTGGCGAGCTCCACGTCCTTGGAGTAGACGTCGAACTGCCACTGGCGCTGGCCCAGCACGCCGGCCAGCACGGCGCCCGTGTGGATGCCGACGCGCATGTCCACGTTCGTGTTGGTCGTCTGCTGCACGTACCTGCCACACGCGCGCTCCTCCTCACCACCCAAGTACGTGCACGTGCTCAACTGGCTAGGGCTGAACCTCGCCAGAAATGCATTTAGTATTATTATTATTATCATCCCATCTGAACGGTAGTGTATTTGATACCACGTACTTACCGTTACGCGGGGAACCGACCCCAGGACAGCCACGTTGTAACGGCTCTTATAAAAAGTTGATGGGCATGTATATGTTTATATAATTATTTATCACAATAATAAGTCAATATTCAGAAATACTCAAAATTTGAATATACAGGTGGGTTTTGTTTTGAATAAGGCCGAGCTTTGTTTCTATGTTATATTCTGTTAATATTGTTTTGTCTATTAATGTTTTGTGGATTAACTTGTGGATAACCTACATAATATTTGTTTGAATATCTCCCCAATTTCGTAATATTTTGGATGTTTGGTGTAGAATCTTTGGTATTGATAGTATAAACATTCCTTGAATTCAGAATATTATGTATTGACAGCTGGTGGTACGTATCCGTCTTATCATGTTACGGAAATATCACTCAATCTATTCATATGATATATCCAAGTGAACTAAATATGTGAGGCCATACTGAGGTAAACGTCTTTGTTCACCATATATATAATACTTTTGTGGAAACTTTTTTGTTTTCGACTTATATATTTTGTATATTTGAATGGAGTATCGTGAATAAACTGTCCTTTCACGCCCTTTCCGAGGTGCAATTCAAAGTATTGCAAAACAATTGTACTTTGCTTTAAATATAAAGATTATATTAATACGTTTCATTTTGTGGGTATTTGAAACCGAAAAATGCATTCATCGTTTTCGATTAAATGTTGTTGTTGATTTGTATAAAGTACGGTTAAGAGAATGGCGCAAGTCTAATTTTCTTTGAAAACTCTGATTTTTCAATTTTTTTGAGCGTCTTCCTACAACTAAAATTATGTAGATATTTATTTTTTCCCTTAATAAAATCTGTACCTTAAAGATAATTTTGCGTGAAAGTACCAGAAAGGCCAGAAAATACATGCTGTTTTAGGACCACTAGTCCACCCTATAAAAGAAGACTGTCGCAAACGTGTTTCAACCCCTGCATCTGATGTCTGAATGTGTCGGAAGGGCGTCGCCAGCATGTGTCGATTGTATGCCGTGCTTCGGAGGAAGGCACTCACTTGATGGCCTTGACCATGGACAGCCCCATGTGCACGCACAGCACCGCGTGGTCGGGTCGCTCGCGCGGCGCGCCGCTGATGCAGTAGTAGCAGTCGCCCAGGATCTTGATGCGCAGCTGCTGGTATCTCTGCAACAACGGGAGCAGCGCGGATCAGCTGCGGCCGCGCGCCCTCCCAGCTGGCGGGGAAGCAACCTCAGGAGGCGGCCGACTGAAAGACCGGTGAGATGGTCTCAAAGTAGAGCGGCCTCATACAGGGAACATCAATGGTATGTTGCGGTGTGGTAGCCGTTCGTAAATTATCTCTCCTTGTAGTGGCTCTATTTATTTAGTTTATTGTAAGCAGGGTAGTTGTTTAATTGAGACTACGGTCTAGATTGGGTATAAATCAACTGTTTTTCCAAACCACTCTCGTCTGTGTTCCGATTACACCCGTATGACGCCACAATACGAAGTATACAATTATGTTCCATGGGAGACTATTATGTCCCGTGCGCAAACTTAATCGTGCCCGTACGCCAGATTTTAAAGCCAATGGTCTGATGTCGATAAGTAATATGTTAAGTATTAAAAACGTAGATCCGTATGATAATTATGTGTATCATCGTAGCAATTAGGTTCCTACTAATTTAAAATTATCAGAGATGTAATATTTTTGGAATATTTTTGCTTGATATTCCCTTAAGCATATTAGTGATATGATGAAAAACAAATGACGGTTTTTAACTACACTAATTAACTTTTGCAGGATTCAAATCCAACTTTAAAAAAAGATGATTCGCTTTTTTTAAGAATACCGTTGAATTTAGCATATATGTAGTTAAATCCAGGGACCTGAATTTTAAAAAGACTCAGTAACGATTGTAGATGCCAGAAAAGAGCAAGTGCGTACTTTTTTCAAAGTTTTCTGCACAGGAATGGCTCTGATATATGCTCTAATTTATTTTGAAATGTAGATGAGAAATTTTCAAATGAAGGAACAAGCCATCTCAGAGGAATGCTTTGCATAAGAAACCTGTGAAGTTAATCAAGTCCTTGGTGAATAATTAAACTAAAGATTCTTATGCCCTCTTTCTCCGGCACCATTCCTAATCTCACATGCAATAGAAACTCGTAGAGAGTACATTTTGGAAGTTGGCATTTTCACTGTTGAAAATAAAAGTAATGAGGTTACTGATATTTCATTTTTACTCTCTGGTATACGTACGTATATGAAGAGTAATATATGTAGTATAGAGAAAATTATGTAATGCTGCGGAAATTCTATTTCGAGATTTAAACCGAAATTTATATTATGAGGTCCCCTGATACCGAGAAAATGTTTATTTATTTAAAATATTTTGAAGCGCTTTAACTCACAAACGCAATAGTGTTCACAAATTGCTGGTAGCGTGCATATTAACGGCATGAGAGATAATTCCAAACAATTACATTCGTGTAATTTTTGAAAAAACAAAAGGATACACCAACATTTGAAGAAAACATATGGAGCAGTTTTTGAGAAAATGGCGTTTCAGCGTCTCTCAAAATGCGGAAATTGAGCTCATTTTCAAAGAAAACTTCGAGTTTGCAAAAAATTTTGTGAGAAACCGTTTATATCATAAACGCAATAATGAATTCATAAATGCAATAACGTGAAACAAATTGCCGGTAATGTAAATATTAAAGACGTGAGAGAGATGTCAAAAAATTATATTTTTGTAATTTTTGAAAAAAAGTTTAGAGCAGAATGGTTTTTACATCTTCTTATAGAGTACATTTAGCACTATCCTTACCAAATGTTTAAAGAAAAAGATTGGAAACATTTTCGAGAAAATATTATTTTAAAAAATTGCACTTATTGCTTGCAATATTGCACGAAAACTACTAAAATTTTCAGAAGATGGACAGGACTTCAAAGAAAGAACTAAATACGAAGAAAAAATGTATTTGCACGAAAAATCTCTTCTTCAATTTTGTAGTTGTAGGAAGTCGCCGGAAGGAATTTGTGTTTGTTTCGCTTAGATTTGTTATCTTCTGGAACAATTAAATGGTAGTTCTCTACGGGAAATATGAAGGTAGCAGGATCGTCTTTTCGTGACCATATGCCGGCACGAGCTCTTACTTCAAAGGTTTAGCTCCCAACGCCTCGTATATTTGCGGAAAATATGCTCACACGAACGCTCGCACGCTCCCACGCTCGCCTGCTCGCCCTATTTCTGACGCCTAAGCTTCGACGATTTTTCGCAGGAGAGATGAGAGACAAGACAAAAACGGGTTTCTGACGGGGAGACTGCTTTTATTTTAAACTAGTGTTCCGATAAAAATGAAGCTATCTAAGAGGAAAAAGAGAACGTACTTGGTTTTCCTCAGAATCTTTTCTGATACTTTGAAAGCAGGTGAGTATATTACTGAAGATGACTTCAGGTCTTTCATGGACCTGAAGAAAGATTCATTTCTGCGACGAACTTTGTCACTATCGGAGATGATGGATAGCAGAAGCTCAAGGAAACTTCTAAACTTGAAGAAAAGGGAGAAAAACCGATTGCACCAGAAAGAATGAAGAAGTTGAGGGTTTCTAATTCTAGAGCTCAGAAGAGCAGTTCATGTCACAACGCTTATCATTCACCTCATCCTGGTCATGGACTGAAAGATGTAGACCATCAAATCCTGTTCGCTCTATAAATTTCCTTTTCTCCCTACAATTCATCACGGCCAGAAATATCCTCTGCTCCTTCCGCACAATGTTTTTGATCGTAACTACGATTCTGGAATAGTAGTTTACGCAACAATGCCCGAAACGTGATTCACGTACGATTCGAGTTCGCCGTGAGATGCGGAATATACTATTTTCTATCACATCGTGAGCGAAACGCAACGCCTCAAGTGAAGGAAAATAAATTAAATATCACAAATAGAAATACCTTACTTGCAAAAAGTAAACGGATTCTAGTCAGTGTCCTAGCACTGTTATTTGTAGATAATAAGCAAACTCGTCAAGACGAAAGACAATTGCGAATCGTTACAGATGTTTCGCACGCTGTGAAAAAATAGCTGTTTTGCACACGGAAAAAAAGCCCGAAAAACCGCGTTTCGAGAATAAATTTATAATGTGCATTTTGACAGTTTGATTTCATTTTCTACGGTGTAGTAAATATTATTCACAGTCATTGCCAAGACATTGTAATGTAACAAAATTAATTTAAGAAAATCGCGGCATCAGAATAACAATGTTCTGTCTTCGAGGAATTTCCTAGTAGAGAAGATTGAAGGTGGGGAAGCCTCTCATAATGGAATGCAAACTGTTATCTCATTTTGTTCATAAACGTCATAGGCGTCTACAATCTAAAATTAGAGGGGGGACCAACAGCATTTCTGGGTCCCTTTGGTGCTCCGTTTCTAATGAACTTTTTTGACATATGACAAATTTGAGTAATTTAAATATTCGTACAAGGAGAATGAAATAATACATTTAATGATACAGCCAACAAATACAATATTATTAATTTATGTTGTCTTATTTACGGAATTGCTAGCAGGTTTGGAGAGCTTCTTTCCTATGTTTCATTTCTCCAAAGTATTGAGTTAAAAAAGGGGGAAATCAGATCATATTTATGGAAATAAAATATTTTATTACGTAGAGCTATAAGGCATTGCCTATAGGCTATTTCGAAATTTTCAGGAAGCTCAATTGATAATAGGTTTTCTATAAACCAGACTTGAAAAAATATGAATTCCTTGAAAGCATAACAAGCTTGTGGTTGGTCACCGATGAAAGTCCTCTCTCTCCGCCACTCTCTCTTCTCTCTCTCTCTCTCTCTCTCTCTCTCTCTCTCTCTCTCTCTCTCTCTCTCTCTTCGTCTCTTTCCGCTCGTCTGTCTCTTTCCGCCTGTCTCTCTTTTTACCTGTCCCTGCTTGCTTCTCTCTGTGTCCGTCTCTGTATCTGTCTCTGTGTCTGTCTCTGTGTGTCTGTCTGTCTCTGTGTGTCTGTGTGGGTCTGTGTGTGTCTGTGTGTGGTTGTGTGTGTATGTGTGTGTCTGTGTATGTCTGTGTCTGTGTGTGTCTGTGTCTGTCTCTCTCTGCCTATGTTTGTCTGTCTGTCTGCCTATCTCTCTCTCTCTGCATATGACTGTCTGCCTATCTCTCTCTGCCTATGTCTGCCTCTCTCTCTGCCTCTCTCTCTCTCTCTCTCTCTCTCTCTCTCTCTCCCCCTCTCCCTCTCTGCCTATGTCTGCCTGTCTCTCGCACCATTTTCTTAAAAATGACTCCCAATTTTTCAACGAAATTTGTCATTTAGGACGAGATTTTCATCTTCTTTAATATTCTTTAAGTAATGTATCGATCCTACAATTTGAAAACAGAAAAATGGAGAAAAGGAAAAAAAATATATACTTGGGTGGCGATAGATAGCTTTTCTCAAGAGCGAAGATCTAGTGCAGACAAAAAGAAATTAGAAAACTAATTACGTGAAATCTATACTACTCTGTAGTACCACTAGTTTACTTTCTCGCATACTGCTTACGCAGTAAAATATTGTAATTCTGTAGAAAAATGGAATTTTTTTGACAGAAAAACTAGGAAAACCCGGCATTAGTAACGAAAACGTGGATAAAACGCATTGTTATTTGTTGTAAATTTCTACCTCATATAAGTTGTGTATTCGGAATCCGCGTTTTGTGGTCTTTGATACCGACAAATTGGTATACGAAAATACGTCCGTGTGTGAGTCCGTTTGTCTGTCACAGCGCCTGTCCGTCTCTCCGCCTGTCCGACTCTCCACCTGCCCGTCTCTCCGCCTGTCAGTTGTAATGCCTATCTGGGAACAACGCCAGCCGCTTAACCGAAAGTGGGATTTTCCTCAGAATTGATAATTCCCGATCGATCAGACATTTGTCGCGCCCGTTGTATTTAAAAGTGTGATTTTCGAGTGTATTTTACACGAAGCCTCAACACCATGTGCAAACGTTTTCCGAAAAGATGTTCCGGGTTGGCTGCAGGAAGAGACTTACCTCGGAGAGTCGGTCGAAGCGCGCGAACAGCTCGTTGAGGATCTTGACGAGCTCTGAGGCCGAGTACGTGGACGAGATGGCGGTGAAGCCCACGATGTCCGCGTACAGGATGCTGCGGGTGCAGGACGAACAGAGCACAGCGGATCAGAGAAGGGCATTGCAATGGACACACACACAGCGGCAGACATCAAAGGAGACGAGTTACGAGCCTACGGCCTCAACTCTCTTTCGAAATTATGATAATAATAATAATAATAATAATAATAATAATTATTATTATTATTATTATTATTATTCGATTCAAATTGATCAAAACAATAGTCTCCTCGACTAAGAATTGTACCTGTTTGGGCTCAGTTTTTCTGAACACTACTGAGGCGGCCAATGGTTTGAATGGTTTCATTAGCCTGCCTTGTTCGATAGGTAATTATGTCGTTGTTGAAGAAAGTGTGTATGGTGGGAATCGCAGCATCTGAATTCTAAACATGAAGACAAAACGCAAGGGTTTAGTGATGCAATTCCTGACATGGTACCTCGATGTCAGCAACGAGTTTTGGACCATGGAGGTGACGGATCTCCGACGAGGATCAATTCAAGCAGGGTCATTATAGACACGGAATATGTTGTGTCCGGCCTTGCTCCTTGACTTCGTGACCAGAGTTGCAACGTTCAACTCTTAACGCTACGATGCAATAGTGGTGTATTCAGAACAATCAGCGCGGGTTACAGATATTGCCATACCGCACATTAAAGCACGGATCAAGAGATCATCTGCAATAGATTTGCTGAGGGGTGTTTGATAGTCCATCCTACATTCCGAATCCCGCTAGCAGTGATTTCAATATTTTTCTTTCCCCTCACGGAATTCCTGGCTGTAGCACTTTCCACACGCGTATGACGCAGAGTTGCAATTGACTGTCACATTCTGATTCCTACCGCAAGCGTCGGAGAGCAGGTGTTCATCCCCAGGTACGACATACGTCTGAGCTTTGGTGATGAGTTTGCGGAAAATATTTTGGCCTTCCTGTATAGGTTAGAATAAAGATTTTCCCTATAAAAGCATTTTGTTTTTGTTGACGACATAGGAAACACTTATTGGAATGCGCATCGTATTGAACATTTGTTACAACATCGTGCCATGGAAGACGTTGCAGTGCGGATCATATTCCCGCCTGATATCTCATCGAAGAAAATAACAATAGAGGTGGCATTTCATTATCGTTACAACAAGACGCCATTTTGTTAGAGCATATTATTTCGACGAAAAACTCCTTCTGTTGCATCGTGATCGTGTGTTACAACAATGATACAAATCACGTGCTTGGTCTCTCATACCATCATTCATCACATCTAAACAAACATCATCCCATCTAAAATCTCATCAAAATCCTCCCATAATTATCACATGCACCCATGGATGAGAAAACAAACCATCTCCCCTTCCGTCTGTCTATTGATTGATTGGTGATTCAGATGAACCGTTAAGGTCATTAGTCCTGTTGGTGTGGTGCTGGTGTAGTTTCTTCTTGTGGAGGTGCCGGGAGAGGTGGCTCAGTGCATCAACTGTCGTCGCTGCAGTGCGCAGCCGTCAGCCTACGGCGTTCGCCGGGCCGGGCAGATGCCGGCCCGGCAGCGGTGATCTCGCCGCCCCTCCCGCAGAGAACGTTGACGCGCTTCCACGGAGCCCACAATATCGGAGGGCATTCACCGTGTGCCTCGCGAGCGAAGCGCCACCGAGAAGTGTTAACGAACAGATGAAAGGCGGGCTAGAAACAGAGATGACACTTGTTACGCAATGGCGTGTAATTTTCTTTTCATTTCATTTACTCTTAGCAGAAGTTCAGTAAATCCTTTGAAATCTCTTCTCTCCTTACTACGCCTTCTCTATCAAGTCTAACTCCTCCTTCATGATTTAATGAAGCTTCCCTTCATCCCATGGCAACTTCGCAGATTAAGGTACGGGTAGAACCAGGTAAACGAGTGGTTTGCTTCTGTCAGGCCGCTAAATTGCCGGGCAGCTTATCAAAGGACATCTGGGTCTCCTGATTCGGGTGATGGCGTTATAATATAATTGTCCGAAACTATAACATTTTCTTTCAGCTTATTCTGGTTTCGCTTGAGATGCAGTTTTCAAGAGAAAAACTGCCATGTCGAATGTTTTTCTTCGATGTCGATTGTAGTTGTAGTTGTTAGTGCACCAATTGTGAAGGCGAAGCACAAAAACTTCAAAACAAGCAAAATTAATTAAGATGTACTACTATTTGTGTACAGTTTCTAGGAAGGTTCTTTTATTCGCCAACAACGAAAAGTAATATTATTAATATTGCCTTTTATTGTAAACATTTGATTGAAGTTGAGGAATATAGATGAAAGAAAACCGGAATGTCAGTCAATCAAGGGCAACTCCACATACATTTTTTGAACGATTCATTTGGGTATGTTTTAATATGTGAACTCATAACAGAAGTATTTTTTTTAGAATTTCGCTCTTAATAACTCGCCATACCAAATGAAACATCGATTCTGAAGTAATAAATCCTAGTTATTCATTATTTCCTCAACTTTACTTCCCCAGCACTAGCTAATATTTGTGTTCATTTCTATTACTCATTTTTAGAATTTTTATATGATTACCTGTGTTTCTAAGACCTTTTTTCTCTATGCATGTACTTTTTTGGCTGCGAGTGCTTATTTTACATTCTCATGGATAATGTTTTTCCGAACTTCAAAATGATAGGAATATTAAACGTAGTAATTTATTTCTGTGTATGAGATAGAATATTTTTACCGTTTAATTATCAATACTTAACTATTTCTTTTTAAAAAATCGTCTTCTTAAAAAATACTAGTTTTACAAACACATGGTGTTTAGCACATGCTTTTGATGACCGTTAACTGATATTATTCTTAGAATTAAACTGGTTTTATTATATAAACTGCTCAAGCTCTCAATTAAAAGATACTGGGTAACAATAGGTGTGAGTATAAGGTGCTAAATTCGCAATATACTAATTAATTTACGAACTATATTCCATTGCTCCTATCAGATCACGAGGTGCTGGAGTGCAAAATGTTTTTTCTCTCCAACTTCTGTACTTGCTCGGCTTTTCTGACTCGGAGAATCAGATGTTTGAAATGCTGCTCTTGAGTATTAAAATTGACGTCTGTCCGAAAAAAAGTAAAATCAAATTTAAATGTCAAAAGATAATTCTCATTCTGAAAATTGATGCTTTTCATTTACGCTGGAGCATTGCAATTAGTTTATTTCCATTTATATTTTACTTAATCATTTCTCAGGTTTCTAATTAGTCAAAATACGTCGTCAAAGAAGAGTTAGGTCCAGAAACTTAAAAATATTCAAGTAGAAGTTTATTTTTGAAGAATATATTCTGAATAAGAGTTCATTAGCGAAATTGCATTATTCTTCGATAACCCTCTACGTTCTTTTTTCTTACTTGTTGCGCTATTTCGATGTTTTTTTTTTACAAATATGAGCAGACTGAAAATGAGATAACTGTCGTTCATGAAGTTCTGCATTCGTGATTACTACTTCTGTCAAGAGTATTTATTTTATAGTCGGACAAGAAGAAATGTGTAGCATGATATTAATAATTTTATTCACCTACCTTGTGTTAGAAATTCTCAGTTTGCATACATCAAAACATATCTTTCCACCCGACGCAGTTGTTCCAGAGTGGATTCAATTTTCAGACTAACCGCTAACATGGTGACAGACGGACGTAAACGAAATATGTGAAGCAAGAAAATTATGAATACTCATTAAGACACTCATTAAGATAGAGAACTCTTGAAATTTACCAAGGGCAAGTGAGAACTAAAAAATACTCAAGATAATTAAAATAAAGATATTGAACTAGCGAATGCAATCCAATTGAAATCAGGCGTACGATTATTGATTTCAAACACGTTAATTTTTGTATCGCTCCGAATTGGAATATCTTAAAGATCATTAGACAAGTAGCATTTGCTATTTTTACAGTTATTGGGAATATTCTAAACATGTCGTAATTCGAAATTAGTAATTGAAAGTACAAGAATTAAAGCATTGTCAAGACAAGATTTGTCAAATTTGAGAGCGTGTAGAATTTCAATTAAAAAGTCCGAGATTACTAGCAAATGGAAAGTGTATATAGGTAAAACTTCATGTTAAAATGGAAATCTTACTATATTAAGAGAACTCTTGTACATTTTGTGTGATTTGTATGAAAAATTTGAAAATGCAGTACTCACCTTACATTTTCGTGTCGGCTCATGTAGATCTTCTTGAACTGACCATCTTTTGCTGAGCCAAGATCTTGACGCATGCGCACAGCCACGTGTTCCGGCAGAACAGACAGGAGAAGGCGCTCCTGGAAGCAGAAAATGTAATTTTTCAAGTCTGTAACGCAGAGTAGGCAAAGACAGCCACGTTTTCCCTATAGTGTACCTACATTTTTTCTTAACATCATACTCTCATTTTTCCTCCAGCAATGCTCTATTCAAAGAACTAGTTTTGATAAAGATATCTTATCGCCTTTTCCCCATAAATATAGGAAGAATGGTAACATTGTGCGAGTGACCATTCTAGTCCTGACCGCTGAGCATCCACTCATGTCACTGTTCCATCTGCATAACGTCGCAGCTTAAATACCCATCACAATTATTCTACTTATGTATTTTAGGTTATTTAAATAAGCGTCACATACCACAACTTATACCAGACCATCTGTATTTTCGAGGTCTTCATGATAATATGTTTCACACTCATAGACAAGGTTTCGGACTCCGTGCATTCCAACGCTTCCCCAGCATCAGCCAATTTTCCCAACAGCTGCCGTCCACCAGGAGCACAACTTCATTGATGTTTCCGGAAGTGATGCTTTCAGCTCATCATCTGCGCTGGCCGAAGTAATTGTTAATCCATCACATTCAGCCCCTGTCGAAAATCTCTTCGCTTATAACGGCCCTGTCGCCTACTCAGCGTATCGGATATCAGCGCTGCAACACGGCCGATCAATATCCTATTTTTTACTAATTAAGAGTGTCTGGTGACGTTGCGCTCGTAGCCGCAGAGACGGCCCTTGAAAAAGCAATTGGCTTCTTCCCGAACGCCAGGTCGACGAGAGAAGAGATGCCCGACCTCCGTGCGTCACCTACAGCCGAGATTTCGTCGGCGCGCAGGAGCACTGACAAACGGCAATTTTTAGTCAGGGGAATACATTGTTGTGCTCTGGTGGCCCAGAGCTCAGAGAACTTTGTTCCAACAAAACAAGTTGCGCTGCTTCACAAGGGCTAGTCCAACCCCTGTGAGGTGTCATAAACCCTACCCCAATCCAAATTTCCTTCCCAATTCTGGCAGCTGGGTAGTAACGCAGGGGCGTGTAGGAGGAGGCGCGTACGCGGAGATGCTATCTGGCGGTTCTCCCGGCAACTGACTACGAGACATGGTTATGATTAATGGAGAGTTATTCCTGCGCAAGTAATCGAGGTTTACCTGAAGCGCAAAGCGCTCAACGCCCTCCAAGGGGCTTGGAGACACGTTGCGTATACGCAACAAATTGAATAAAATTTTACAATTTCATGGTGACACGATATCCGTTTATATAGTACGCCCCTTTGTCTTTGTTCGCAAAATAAACGGTTTCACCAGTATAACTAATGTTCTTCTGCCAAATGGTAGTTTTTGAGACGGTGATTTAGGGAGGCAACCGAGATGTAGCGAACGGAAGAGATGGAAGTAAAACCACGATCTGCCGCCGGGCGTTATTGGTGCAGGTGGCGATTTAATTTCGGTGAATACGATTGTCTTAATTTTATGGTGTGGAGCAGACGCACTGAGTAATACATCTTTCGTAGTGCTGTCCTCTTGACGGACCCAATCGGAGGGATGAAAAGCCTCTCTTTACGGTCTGCGTCCGTTAAGGTTTTTACGGTCCACTGTCTGTTAAGAACAATATAAACAAACGAGTTAAAGCTGAAGATGATGTATGGATATTTGCACTCCAAGAAAAGGATTTGTCGTTGAGTTTATAAAACTTCGTAGCTTAAAAACATATTTTCAGGAAACAACGAAAACTTTCTGTTCCGCAACTTGATTATATTTGGACGTCATATTTTAATGCATATTTGAACGTCATAATGATTGATTAGTGATGGCAAGATCCGACACCGACATACGTTGGTTTCTGAGAGGTACTCGAATTTTCCCAACCAGCGTAGCACCGCCCCACATGAGATGCTTCAAAGGCACGCATGCGAAATGATCCAAAAATGGTAATCAAAATAACACTTAAGTCTTGATATTTAGTATATCGAGATACATACAAAACGTTTGCACAGAAAATTGTAGCTGTTTGAGAAAATGTTGTTAACATATATATTAGAAAAATGTCCCAACTTACTAAACATATGCATGTCCTCGATGTTTCAAGTAAACAACAAATTAAGTGGGAGAATGAAGGTAGGGTTTATTGCGGGGAAAATTAAAATAGCCGTTTTGAATTCGCAGTGCCTTGAATAAGATCGGACCAAACGTGGAAATATATTTTGAGAAGGCACGGTTTAAGCACTAGTGCTGTTAACAAGCGGGCGAGGGTAGGGGGCGGAAAGAGACGTTTCTGAAAAAATACAGTTTTCAATATCAGAGACATCCAAAATATGTATTTCCGAAGAACTCTCGATATTGAATATTTGCACTATAGAACTTTCTTTCTACGTACACTCGGTACTCGAAACTTGTACACAAGGAAAGTTAATCACGTTTTACCTTCATATTACTCAAACATCAGGAGAGATTTTCATGAATAAATTTATATTTTTAAAGTAGAGCGTCCTAAAATTATGCAATGTAGATCGGACACCTCCTCTTAAGTGGTTGTGTGTATGGCAAAATAAACCGTACCTCACTTTCAGCACCGTCACACTATCGCCGCACCGTCACACTATCACCGCACCATCGCACTATCATATCACCGACACACTATCACTGAACCGTCACACCATCAACACACTATCGCACTATCGCTGCACCGGTACACTATCACCTCACAATCACAATCACAATACCGTTTCACCAGTACCACCACACTGCCTCCCATTTGTCACATTTGCACAAATCACTGCACACAATCCCCCTGCAATGTCTGCATGTCCACTCGTATACCGCTTCACCTTCAGATTATTACCTCTACGTCCATGACCAGCCCGCCCGAACTATTTCAAGCAGCACTACAACCATTCCACGATTCTGTAATCTTCATTCCCTACATCGTGTCCTTCATCTTCCCCGGCCGCCCCTCCAGCATCCCGTCCTCCGCCAGCAGAGGCGGCGGCGCCAGGGGGCGCGAGTAAACGATTTATCCGGCGCGCGATTCGCTTCCCGCAGCCACTGACAGGTTATTAAGGGGCCCGCCCCCGCCCCCGCCCTCGCCCTGGCCTCGGCCTCCCGGGGCATTGCGTTGCGGTTATCATTTCCTCGACACTCGTAATTCTAACCTCGCTTCGGGAAAGACATTTCTTCAATGCGAAGCCAACAATGGCTCAATTGTCAGTCACATTCTGTAATGGGCTACAAAAGCGCAATAGCGACTCATCAGTGGAAAGGTGTTTATAGGAGAATATGATACGCAACAATGGAGGACACCGTTAGCCGTCTAATAAAAAGAAAAATAACTAGAAATTAATGGGAGGGAAGGATTATAACAAAATCATCGGATAATAATGGTAGTATTAATAGTGAATTAGTGATGAACACGTGAGAAATTTCCGCGAAGAACAATTAGAATTAAGGAATTATAAGGAGACCGGGTATCAAGGAGTAGAGAGAGTGATATGCCAATAGGTGGCCAGGCAATTGGGAGGAGCTTGGACATAAAACAAGGGGGAAATACATGGGATTGACCAACAAGAAACGAGGTTGAGACGAAAGTGCGCATTTTGGAAGACAAGTGAATAGCGCCGGTTGCAATTTGTCGCACACAGAACGGCGTAGGCTTTTGTCGAGAGCAGACGTCTTGTGACGCGATAGTAGAACAGAACAATGTACGTTTCGGTAAAGACCAGACGAATTGTAGCGCCGTAAAATACACAGAAACGGTGTGAGTTTGTTGAGTTCGGAACTTTTTCAAGTAGTGAAAAGTAGAACGTGCGAAGATGTGGCCGCGTACAAGTTGTTAGTTGTGCGCAATAATTTCAAAGGCCAATACAGAAATTTTTGAAAATTGATGGATGCCAAACTCGGACTGAACGAGATCCGGCGACACATGGGATAACATCGCCGATGTTTACGTACTACTGTAAACGATGGTTACGTGGCGTTTAAGTACTACTGTAAATTCGAAATTTGAAGCTCTTTTTGCAGAAAACTGTTGAGTTTCCGAAAAACTTCATATGAATTAATTTCAAGGACTTCCAGCCACAAATGCAATGATGTTTACAAATCGCTGGAAATGTGTATACTAAAGCCATGAGATTTCTTTCAAAAAAATATATTAGTGTAATTTTTGAAAAAAAAACAAAAACAAAACTTTTCGGCATATTAAATAGTGCAAGTAGCACTATCCTGTAGCAAACGGTACGATAATAACGGTACATTTAACTAGCGCGGGTCGTGCCCTCTGCAAGAGGAGCCGCCCCTATTTGTGTACATTCTGAGACAAATGAATTGTAGTGTCTTTGCTGACCGACGCGCCGCGAGGGGAGGGGAGGCAGGCAGCCATGTCGGATCGTGAGTTGGAAAATAAATATTGTTTCATTTCGTGAATACATTTGACGTATAGTTTTAGTTTTGTAATTTGATACTTTCTGTCTATGGTATTTGGAGGATTTGGAAAATCGTGTCGCCATGCCCAAGGCGAATAATTTGGAAAACGACGCTGGAGAACGGTCGGCACGGAGTGCAACGTGGACGATGCATTGTGGACAGCCGAACTCGAGGAGGTGAAAAGCCAAAGTTCTACGACGACATCCGAGAAAACCCAGGTAGAATCAACGTTTGTGGCGGCACTATAACGCCCTGCGAAGGAAATGTTTTTCTGTACTTAGTTCCGGATAATAGCGGTCCGCAATTTCTTAATTAATTGTGTGATAGGTATTCCACGAGCGCGTGAGTAACTCTGCTAGTGAATCGTTTTAGTTTTTTTGCTTGTAAGTCAAGCTACTAAAGGAGAAATAGATTAGAACTACAACATTTCGCGACGGGCAGACGAGTGCAATTGCGCGAGGAGGGAGTGTGGTCTAAGTCAGGGCGAGCGCGGAGCGTACATAACGGTAATTAGTGGCAGCTTAGAGAAAAATAAGCTAAGAACAGAATTAGGTGGAATTGTAGAGAGAAAGAGAAGTAGGGAAAAAGTAACTGGTGTGTAACCTAAAG